CTCGGTCATCCCTTTCTTCTCCTTCTTCCCTCTCTTCTCCCCACTCATCCCTCCTCCTCCTCATCTTCTTCTTTTTTTGAGATAGTCTCTCATTGAGCCTGAACCATATCAGTGACTTTCAGGGACCTGCTTCTTCATACACACACCCAGAACCCAGTGCTGGAGCCACAGACGGGTGCTGCTGCATGATTTTTTGTGTGAGCACTAGAGGTCTGAATTCAGGTGCCTGTGTTGTCTGTTGTGTGCCACCCCCACCCTCTTGCTTTTGAGGTGGTTCCTCCCACAAAAAGCCAGTAGGGCTTGGAATTTGCTATATGCCCAGCTGGGCTTCAAACTTGCAGTTCTCCTACCCCTGCCGACTGAGTGCTGGAATTACAGGCATGTACTACCATGTCTGACTCTTGGCAATCTTCATGTTATCTCCAAATTTTGCAGCATTTGCCATGTCATGTACTACGTGCTTGATGAAATCAGTTTTTCCTCAAATACAGTCTTTAGACTTGGACTATAAATAAATATGTACTAATTAAACCATCTATTATCAGTGTACACATTCCATAATTCTTGGTGATGTGTGCGTTTTTCTTTAAGACTGAGCGTCATTAAGTAGCTCAGGCTGGTCTCAAACATGCTTGCCTTCACCACTCTACCTCCTTACTGCTGGTGTTACAGCACACGCCACTGTGCTTGGATTTATGGTAATGTTAAGAGTCTGAATTTCCCACTAAACTGTAAACCCAACAAAAATAATGAACATGTCCATTTTTGCATACCACTTTGTAACTTGGGCTATAGTTTCTGGCACTATTTAGCAGCTTAACAAAGACTTGGTGCAGTCAGTTACTCCTGATATCCATCTTAAACATATACAAAGATTGAACTTTTCTTTTTCCCCTAACTCTGCCCCTCCCCCTTTTTCCAGTGCTAGGGACTGAACTCAGGTCTTGTTCATTCTAAATGCTCTACCACTGAGCTACAACCTCATCCCCCAAAATGAAACTTTTGACTCTGCCCCTGCCTAACCTCCTAACTTTCCTCAATACGGCTTCCCCATCTTTTCTACCTTAGTAAAAGGCATCACTTTTACCAAGCCATTTATGATTTAAAAAAAAAAAACAACAACAACAAGCAAAACTAAACAAAGCAATGAGTAACCCATAATTCTTTCCTTTCTTGTTTCACATATCAATCCATCAACAAAATACATTAAATCTCTTTTCTTCTACGTCCACAGCTACTTTCCCAAGTCACCATTATCTTGTTTGAAATACTAGGGTTCTACTGTTATTGTTCTGTTGTGTTGTTTTTGAGAAAGGGTCTCCCTGTGTAGCCCTGGCTGTCCTGGAACTATGTAGATCATCAGGCTGGCCTCGAACTGACAGATATCCACCAGTGTCTACTTCCCTAGTGCTGAGATTAAAGGTGTGTGCCACCACACCCAGCTTCTGCTTGAAATGCTGTAATGGCTTTCTAGTTACCCTTTACTCTTTTATATATAATGCGTTTTGTTTTCATTTATTTTATGTTTCAGCAAGTTCGATCTTGAATATAAATCAGTAGGGCTAGAGAGATGGCTCTGGTTAAGATATAAATCAAGCCACATGCCCCTTACACGGAATAAAACCGAGCAGTTCCAGCAAAGCTCCGCAGCTTCTAGCTCCAGCCTGCACTTGGGCTCACTTTGTCCAACCACAGAGGCTTTCGTGGTCCTTATGTCTCCCTGATTGCCAGCCGCCACTCAGAGCACCTTCACTGCCTCCGCTCGTCACTCTAAACTTCACCTTCTCCAAGAGGCTGTTCTTGGCAGCTCTGCAGAAAGAAATACTCTCCCTCACACAGTTCTGTTACCATGTGGTTTAGTTTCTCCACACCAGCCCTATACCCAATACCATTTTATCCATTTATTATCTATTTCCCCTCTCCTAGGAGTAAGCTGTTAAAGGCACCATCTGCATGTACAGCAGGGCCTGACATCTAGTAACCAGCCAGCGTTTCCTGAACAACAATCCCCCATCCAATCTGTCGTGCCTTTCAATAAATAAAACCTGTCTCCTTGACATCTTTTTACTTTCTTCTAAGCATGTTAAATGGTGAAAAGCAAAGCCAGGCACAGTGGCGCACACCTGTGATCCCAGCACTCAGGGAGGCAGAGGCAGGGGGATAGCTGTGAGCTTTAGGCCAGCCTGGTCTACAAAGGGAATCCAGGACGGCCAAGGCTACACAGAGAAACCCTGTCTTAGGGAGAAAAAAAAAAGTGAAAAGGAAGAATAATAAAAGACGCTTAAGCCTATGGGTACAAGAGAGAAACTCCTGACAGTATACCAGGATAAACTGTCAGGTCTGGTGTGTCACTAGCCGTGACTCTTCCTAGATCATGGGCCAAGATAGTCAGTGGGAAGAAAATCTGCTTTTTTATTACTTTCCTCCAGATAGGCGTTTCCTTTTTCTAACTTAAAATTCATTACATTCTTTTTCGGGATTCTAGGCTATTACATAATCCCTCAAATGTCAACTCCTTCAAACTTGGCCCTTAACATTACCCGTCTTTCTTTCTTGTATTTTTACAAAACACCTTAAACAGAAACAGAAGCACTCAGGTGCCCTAAGACACAGACCCTGGGCCTGCAGCTGGGCTCTCGTCCCACCATCCAATGAGCTAACCATTGAGCAAGCCACAGCACTCCAACCTTCACCCAAACAGGACAGTCGGGGCAGATACTGCAGGAGGGGTCAGTGACCGGAAAGCTTTGTACCAGAGGAGACCATCTTGGATGGGGATAATGAGAGGGAAAATGAGACCATCTGAACAGGACTACAAACCAAGCCTTCACTGAAACACAATTTATTAATTGTGCTCTCAATTTCTGCTTCAGACCCACAGTGGAAGCTTTTGTCCATTATATTATCCAACGTCCTTCACATAAGAAACCCACACTATATGCTTCCCAGAATTTAGTACAAGGAATGAGGCTCAATTTACAATCAAACTTGGACTCTCTCCTTTATGAGGAATTACAAACTACCGGAAGCCACGGATGTCTTAGAGATGGAAGGGCTACTGGAAATACCTAGCACAGTGTGTATCAAACTGTTATAAAGTTAAATTGTAAACAATTTTTTTCTTCACACAGTTATTTTATTGAGACATAAATCACATGTTTTGAAGTTCATCCTTTTAAAGTATATTGATTGATTCAGTTATTTTCAGCATATTCAGTTATATAACACTGAAATCACCAAAAAGAAACATCTAGCAGTTGTTCTCCAGGTGCTCAGCAAGTAAGTGTGTTTGTCAAAGGACCCCTTGGTCCTTTTATTGTGAGCTTGTGAAATGGGCTGTAACACTGGAGTGTGTTTCATTCACACACATTCATTTTTAACATTTAATTCTTTTGTCTTTCCTTTTCTGCTTTTCATTTTTTGTTTTTTTATTATTTGAGATAGGGTATCACGCTGTGACCCAGGCTGGCCTGGGTCTTGTGGCAATATCCCTACCTTACCCTTCCAGGAATTACAGGTGTAAACCACTTCACCTGGCTTGTCCAGACATTCAAGAGCTGCCATTTTGGTGTCTGCGCTGGTGAATGCTACACATGGAGACCTCAATTAATCCTCACAGTAAAATCCAGAACAACGGTTCTCAACCTTCCTAATGAACTTCAATATAGTCCATGTTATGGTGACCCCAATCATAAAATTATTTTAGTTGCTACTTGATAACTTTAATTTTGCTACTGTTATGAATTATAATGTATCTGTAGTTTTTGATGGCCTCAGGCCACCCCTGTGAAAGGACTGTTAGAACCCCGGTGGGGTCACGTCCCACAGGTTGAGAAGTGCTGATACTACATTTAAGAATGTGAATATTAAAATGTACAAGAATTAAGGCTAAGTAACTTGAAGTTTTTCTGAAGGATCTACAACAGTGGGATAAGAGGGGACAATTAGTATGCTATCGATATCTTTGGGCTAACTAGAACACAGAGAGGGAAGCTGAATAATAAGTTAATTAGTTAACTAATCCCAGGTCCCTGACACAAGCCTTCCCTTCTTCAAATGACTACCTTTAAAAAACACAACAACCAAAACTTAATTTTAATATTACAGGCTTTCTTAAAGTCCTCGCAGAGACTGAGTGTTTTTAAAGTACCTCACTCTGTAAGCAACATATTTTTGTCATACAAATCCCAATCATCTTTTGATGGCTAACATTGGTAGACACTCGGTTTTTCTCTTCTTCTAGGAGGGTGTCACCCTTCCTCTGTGCACATGCACCCTGCCCACATCTCTACTCTGAACATGGCTGACTGAATTCAAACTGCTTAGAGCTCCTGTCTTATGCCACCTATCAGCCTGAGGTCTCTGGGAAGCACAAGTTGTGTCAAGCCTGAAAGCTGACCTGCACTGCAGGAAGGACAATCAGAAGCTGTCAGGCTTCCTGTCCATCTCTGGTGTAACTGCTTTAAGGCAGCCTAAGAACACACCTCTCTCCTCCAGCACGCCCGCCCCAAGCTGAGCTGCCGACTCAACCAGCCGGGTCTCAGACCGACAGTGCACCCAACAGGCAGGCTTGTGGAGCCCGTCAACGGTCACCGCCATCCAGGCCAAGTCAGTCAAATTAACAAGTGACAACTGGCTGGGCGGCTGTAAGGGACGTGCACCTACCAGTCCCGCCCGCCAGGCAGGGTCATCCGGAGCCCAGGCACCTCCCTGATTTCTGACAGGGACCCGGGCAGGGCATGGGGTCCCTGTCTGGGAGGTGAGGGAGCAAGGCCTCGAACCCAGGTCACCAACCCTGGCGTCGGAAGACCTTCAGGGCAGAGAAGGCGAGGGCGGGGAGCGGCCTCGGTCTCGGCCCCGCACGACGCCCAGAACCCGCGAGGGTCCTCGTCGGCCGCGGGTCTGGGGGCACGCGCACCCCGCCCCCGGCCCCGCGCCATCTTGGAGCGCTGAGGCGCTCGCTCGGGACCACCCCAACCGTGGCCCCGGCGGCTACTCACCCGCGCTGCCCGGGACCAGGCCCCCCGCCGCCTCCGCCACCCCCGCCGCGGCCAGCAGAAGCAACAGCGCGCCTCGCGGAGAGGCCCGGACGCTCGCCATGTCCGGGCCGGGCGGGTCCGAAGCCGCGGGATGCTCGGACCCAGCCTGGCCGCAGCCGCCGCCGGCACCAGGCCCCGCCCCCGGCGCCCTGGCTCCCCGGTGATTGGCTGCGGCGCCCCGAAGCCCCGCCCTAGCCGCTCAGAAGTTCCAAAACCTCCCGGGGGCGGCAGCGCGCCCTGGACCCCGCTCTTTGTTGTGCGCCAGCTGTGCGTCGCCTTCGGCCGCGGGCTCCCGGGCAGGGTCTTCCAACGGGAAGTCAGAAGCTGGCGACCCCTTCGGAACGCCTCTGCGGCGGGCCGGAGCTCATCCCCCTCCCCGCGAAGCTCAGAGGCGACTGGCCTGCCCTGATCTCTCGGCAGGCCGGTCTGAACCGCAGGGGTGCACCCCTTGCTGCGCGCCCCTGAAGACTTTCAGTCTCTCGTGCCCGTGCTGCCTCGGCCTAAAGGAGGTGTGTCACCTGGCCTTCCCTCAAAGCCAGAGGGCTGCTGAGGGCGCGGAGCCACAGGGAGGCCTCCCGCGGCCACTCACAGTTAATGCTGTCCCACCCAGAGGAAAGGGCGGGACAGCCTGTATGACTAGACTTGGAGAGCCTTGAAATTCAGAGTTGGTTCAAGAGGATTTGGAGGTGGATCGCCCCGCGCCAGTCTAGCAGCTACTGTGGACCATGCTCTAGAGGCGCAAAGCTAACCCATTGTGTAGGAACACCTCCCCTCTGCCCAGCTGCCCGCTCTCGAACAGAAAACGCAACCATTTTAGAGTCACCTTGCTGTTCACAAGTGAAACCAATTGCTTATTTACAGATTCCTCTACTCAGGTCGCTAAAAGCCCCCAGGCAGATGGTAGCAGTGATAGTAGAGGAAAAGCAAGGTCCTGGTGCACTCTTGGAGCCGGATTTTACACTCTTCCTGACCCAACCGCACGCTGGCCTTCCTTGATAAATTCAGTGGACACTTTTGCCTGTTTGTTTATTTGTTTGTTTATGTTTGTGTTCTGGAGACAGGATCTCATACAGCTCACCTTGAACTTCACTGTTAAGCCCAGGCTGGCCTTGGTTTCCTGATGAAGTGCTGCGATTTCTGGCATCCAGCTCACATTGTATTCAGAAAGTCTAAGACAGTACTTGATCCAGTGGATAAAATGGCACTCCCAAACTGAGGGGTCTTACTTGGGCCGTGGGATTAGCTTGTTGTACTTAATCCCCACCCTTCCCGACTACGTTGTACTTCTTTAAAAAACAAAAACAATTTTTGAGAATTTTATACCCGAGGATTTCTACCCCACCCTCTTTCTTTCCTTTCCAACCAAAGCTTTACTCTTTAGAACAGTTTTAGGCCCACAGCGAAGCTGAATGGAAGGCACAGAAAGCACATGGCTCCTGCCCCTCTTGTGCACACAGCATCTGTGACAGTGAGTGCACCAGCGCTGACCCAGCCACGGGCTTCCCTGCTGGGACTGTGCAGTCTGTGTTGACGGATGTACGGTGTTTATCTACCATTGTTGCTATTACCTGTTTAAAGTGGAGCTGTTAGGAAAATGATCTGGTTCACTGGAGCTCACACTACAGTTCTCTTCCACAGTGCTCGTGTGATCGTGCTTCACTGAAAATTGATGGATGATTAGAGATCAATGCAGTACTCTTAAAAAGATTTCATCATCCATGATCGACTGTTCTGAGGCAAAGAGCTATCTCGCTGTGTTTTAGTTAAGGAAACCTCATTAAGCCTCTCTGTCCCTCTCCTCTCCAGTGCTGAGAATTGAACCAGGGGCCTCACACGTGGTAAGCAGGTGCTGCCTCGCCAAGCTGGGTCCCCAGCCCCCTCCACAAATCTTTTGGTTAATGGCTTTGTGGTGTATTTTCCCTATGATTCTATCTCTCCTTTCTGTTTCCTTTCGAGATAGGTACTCCCTATGAAGCTCAGGCTGGCATCAAACTTGAAATCCTCCTGTCTCAGCTTCCAAAGTGCCCCACCCCCTTATATTTTTCAAGTATAGAATTTCTTTGTGTTTTCCTGTGTCTCTATTCCCCTCCTCATAATATTCATGCCTCCCCCTTTTTATATTCTTGATAACCTTTGTTATTTTATAACGGCCACTTAATGTCCTTGTTTGGTAATCTCTATGTCTATTTATATTGACTTTTCCAGTTATGAGTAATATTTTCCTTTTTCTTTACACACTGGATAGATTCTGATTGTATGTCATAGACATGAATTTTGTGTTTGGAGTGATTAGTGTGTGTGTGTGTGTGTGTGTGTGTGTGTGTGTACTGTAAGGACATTTACTCTCTTTTTTCTGGCATGCAGTTAAGTTACTTGAGGATTTATTGAGATCACACATCTGTTTCATCATTGTCACCACATTTTCCTTTTATATGACTAAATGTATGTATAACAAGTGCTTTAAAGTCCTAGTCTACTAATTCCAACATCTGGGTAATCCTGGCAAAGATTTCTGGTGACTGCTTTTAATCTTGCTAATTGATTGTATTTTCTAATCTCTGCATGACTAATACATTTTTACTTCACAGCAGACCTAGGACAAGCCCCATAAAAGCCTAGCCTCCACCCCTAGGACATGGCTTGCCATGGAGTATAATTCATGAATTTAACATTCTGCACAGTGGAAATGATAACATTACTCAAAGACAAATCAATAAAAATTATTCAGTCCCAAGAACAGGAGCTGGAAGGAAGATGAGAAGAAAGCATGTCGTTCAGTGTCTGATGTGTGCACAATTGGGTTCCAAGAGGGAGAAGAGAATTAGAGGACAGAAAATGATCCAGAGAGTGGTAGCTGACAACCTCCCAAAAGTGGAAAGCACACAGAAGGCTGAGTGTACCCTGAGATAAGGATAAAATGACTATTTGTCATAAGACAACAATCACACAGATATGGCTGATACTGATACCTCTTCAGAGACGACAGAAGCTGCTTAGCCACCCAGGGCTATCATCCTGCCTTGTTTGGACTGTTGAAGAAGCTTCCTAATTGGCCTTTCATTCATTAGCCCCCATAATCTCTTTTCAAAAAAGCAGTTATAGTGACTTTCTTAAGCAACTCGGTTTATTATTGTGTAGAACTTTCTAAAGGCTTCCCTTCCCACTCCGGAAACAAGAATCCTAGTTCTTCAATATCTCTAAGACTTCCTGCTCACCTCTCTGACCTCATTTCTCACTGCCCCTCTGATTTAGCACACACGCCAGCCACATCCTGCTCTGTGCTTCTGCTTAATTCCTCCAGGCAACTCTGGCTTGGGCTTGTTGCACAGTTCTCTCTCTCCTTGGTGAAAGGAAATGGACTGATTTACAGTTTTGGCCAGAACTGGTGAAAGGAAAGGTCTTGGCTTCTCTCTACCATTCGCAGAACACCTGATGCCATTTTTAGCTTTTGTGTGAATATATTCATACACGGACACAAACACACACACACACACACACACACACACACACACACACATGCACGCACACACACACGCATGTGTTGATTTATTTTAAAAAAAAAAAAAGAAGCTGTAACGAAACCAGGGACATGGATCTGCAGAGGGCTGTGAAGTCTTTCCTGGGAGTGGCTATCCCCCTGGCTCTCCTCAACTCCAGCTTAGGATTCTCAGAGCAGTTTAACTCTTCAGGGCCCAGGTTCTACTGTTACAGACTTAGTGGATGCCACATATATGACAAGGGACACAGCATGGAAGAATGGTGTGATTGGTCAGGCACAGCCCTTCGCATCTATATCAGTCTTCAAATGATGTGATTTGTGAGGTGGGAGGAGAAGTTCAAGGGAGAAAGGGGGTTGCTTGTGAAGGAGGCACCGGGTGGGTCACAGACCCTAGGGTGGAGATCTGGGCTTTATTTCCTGTGTGGAACTCAAGGAAGTGACAGATGTTATGAAATCTCTCTACATGTAGATGTGAGGACACTGGATAGAAGCCGTGTCCGTGTGCGTCTGTTTCTCCCACAGAAGAGTGCGTAGGTGTTTTCTCTGCCCTTCACAAGAGGCAACATAAGTGTTTACCAAGCCAAGATCCTGAAGAGACCTCCAGTTTAGGAGGAGGGGAGCACAGAGCTGTTGTGTTCACGGCCTGTACAACTGGAAGCCAGATGAGAATGCAGGTGTCAACAGGGGCTGCCAGTGACAGCTGAGGGCCAGATGTCCTGCCTTCCCCCAGGCCCGACTGCTGGCTTTGGCTCTGTAAACTCCTTTCAAAACTGGGGAAGATGCTTGAGAATGGCCTTGACTAAATCAAGATTTCCCTGAACTGAGGTTAAGTCTGAAGTAGTCAGTGGGAGTGGGATGTGTGGAGGCAATTGTTTATCTACCACAGATCAGAGCACACTGTCAGAACTTGTTGCTAGGAAGCGAGGTCCCAGCCAGAAACATTTTCCATTTGTGCATCATGCTTACTGTTAGTTTAATAACTTGGAGTGCGGCCTTGGAGAACAAAGCCTGCCTGTTGTCTTGGAGCAGAACCATCATAACTGGCGTCTGTTGACTGTCCTAGTGAAGTCTCAGACAAGAAAAGCCTTTCCCCACAGCCTCCACCACCAACATGGTCTAAAATTTACCGCAGTGCCCTCCAACCCAGGAGGCCCTTGATCTGAGATGCCTGGACACTGACCTTCCTGCTTCCAAAGAACTCTCCAAAGACATGAGCCCACATGCCTGGAACTGTCCTCCCTGTCCTCTACTCCCTTTGTGTATTCATTTCTAAAAAATTCAAACTTAAATTATTTCAGGGACTGAGGAAAGGACTCAGTGGCAAAGAGCATACACGACTCTTGGAGAGGATCCAAGTTTGGACCTGGCACAAAGGTCAGGCTTCTCACAATTGCCTGTAACTGCAACACACACACACACACACACACACACACACACACACACACACACATATTTTGCTATTATTGTTTTTGTTGTTTGCTTGTTTGTTTTGAGACAGGGTCTCACTATGTGGTCCTAGCTGCCCTGGCACTCATTATGTAGACAGGCCTGGCCTCAAACTC